GAAATTTTTTAAAATTTCTACAACATTTCGTGAAACACGCAAGATGTTCAATGGATAAAAAATTTTTACTCGTTTTGGATAACTATGAATCGCATATATCGATTGAAGCCTTAAATTATGCAAAAGAAAATGTCATTATAATTTTATCCTACCTACCACATTGATTTCATAAACTGCAGCCTCTTGATAGGACTTTATTTAGGTCTTTAAAAAACTGAATAAATTCAGCACGTATTGCATGGATGGTTAACCACCCAGGGTCAACTATGACAATCTATGATATACTAGGTATTGTAAAAATTGCTTTTCCTTCAGAATTTACCCCAGAAAACATTATACCTGATAATGTTAACAATGATTTACATTAAACTGTTTTAAACAACTCAAAAAACCTTTGATTTATTTATTGATTTCCTGTCATCACAACTTACTAACCGCCCTAATACAAATGCAGTTACAAGTGCATCAAATTCTTTTTTAACTGTAATACCCTACACCCCATTAAATATGACAGCTGCTGCTTCCCCAGTAGTTTCAAATACTATTAGTTTTCCGGCAGTCACATTGGAAGAAATTCGGTTATTTCCAAAAGCAGGACCAAGGAAAAGTTCCAATAAAGGTAACAGAAAAGGGTAAACAAAAATCTAAACAGACTCACCAGTCAAAAATCAAATTATTGAGGATGCTTTATAACGAAGAGAACAAAAAAAAAACCTTTCGCTCCATTGCTGCATCCCAGAGAAAGCTTAACCTCCTAAACCCAGTTCGTTTGAATAAAAGTAAAAAACGGAAGTACAAGGAAGTATCCTCTGAAAGTGATACAAATGAAAAAATTAAGTGCCATTTCCCTACAGATGATGATGACTGATTTGATTTGCCAATTGATGAGGATAAAAAACCCAAAATTAATGACTATGATGTCTTGAGGTTTGCCATTTAAAAGAAAATTTTACACTTTGTTGGCATTGTAGAAAGAGTAACAGATGATGAGGTGGAAATTATTTTCTGAAAAAATGCAATGCGGAAAACGGTTTTGTTTTCCCTGATGAGGAGGATCATGAATCATTGTCATATAAAGATATTTGTTTTATCCTTCCACTCCCTAACCCAGTTGGTCGTACTTACAGGACCGCTAGAAAATTGGTATTTCCATATAATTTGTTACTTTATAAAGGCCAGTAAAAATTTAAATAATAGCGTCTATCAAACCAGTGTATTAGGTATTATCTGTAACTTCATACTTGGATATTTAAATTTTTTATAATTTATTTTGTATTTTGTTCAACTGTGTTCCAAATTACTCGACACTATGTTCAAACATAGTCCAACCATGGGGCATGTTGAATCAGTTTGCCTATGGTTATATTATCATTTATAATTTTCTGCCATATGAACTGTTTAAAATATATTTTATCTTAAATTGTAGCCAACATTTGTAGCTATAATATGACCCTAAGTGGTTTAACCCATATCATTAATTTACTATGTTACGGCCCAAAAAGTAAAAAATGTTCCAACATGCCCCACTCTCCCCTACCGCGATTGATAGGATATGGTTTAACCAAAAAAAAAAAAAAAACAGAAAGTGGACTATCTAGCTCATTTTAGATATCCATTTTGATTTTTTTAACCTTATCTACAATATTTATCTAAAAATTATCTTGATCAAAACTCTTGTTAAGATAAAAATAATTTTTGTTTGTATTTCGTTGTATAAACAAAACAACAAGATCTAAAAACTTGTTGTATTAACAATTATCGTATCTAGATAATAAAAAAAATAATTTAGTGAAAGCTGACCTAGTGAAGTAAACCTCAAAACAATTAAATTGGCACATAGGTACGAAATCCTAAGCAATAAGCTTTTTAGTTAACTGATTTTTGTTAATAAACTTTAAATTATAAAATTAGACTATAGATGTAGCCTTAAAAAAATACAAAAACCATTTACAACATAACACTATAAAGACTATGTCTAATTAGCCTAAAAATTCAAAAAGATTTCCGATAATTTTACTGCTGCAGAACAATTCAACTGGGTTTTGGAGCTGTACCCTAATTAGAGTTACAATAATCATTAGCAAAACGTTACAATAAAAAAATACCCAACTAGTGTGAGCAACACCCAATATTGATTATCCTTCACATATATCAATGTAACACAACTTTATTTGTATGTCAACCTAAAAAGACAAATTATCAGTAATTTCTGCCTACTTAAAAATATTTGCATAGGACTTTTTTTTTGCCTAAAAAATGTATTTTTATTAAGACATTTTCTCTATCCTTAACTTGAATAAGTATCCCATAACAGGAAAATTTTTTTAAATTAGATATAGTTTTTCCTAGATTTTGAAAACAAAAAGAAAACCCTTAAAGACAGTGAAGCAGACCATTCAAGTCAGGAGCTATATAAAATATCAGCAACCATAGGAAACAAATTATATAAAATAACAAATCAGGAATTATTAAAAATAAAAAAAAATCTATAAAACACCATTATCCTTGGCTGCTGGAGATTGGAGACCTTAACAAAATTTGTTGTTACTAGTTATAAAACTTAGATATAAATAGTAATGATTGTAAGGGTAAAAAAAAATTTGAGGAAATCCCTTGGTCCCTTCATTTTTTAAGGGTAATCTTAGGTACGAATGGTTAATGTTGTGCGACATCTTGAACCTATAGTATTAAATAATTTTAATGTATAATGATATCTGGTATACTGTAGAATATCTAGCACTACATACACTTAATGTCCAGTTCTGGAATTGTAAAAGACCTCTGTCATGAAACATCACTTAACTGTTGTTAAAAGAGTTTAATTTTTATATCTGTAACTACTGTTAATTATTTCCAGGTATTTTATTTCTTTTTTAATGATAAATTTTTTCCGCAGGTTCATCTATTGGTCTAATAATAATGGTCTTGTGAAAATTCCAATTGATTACTGATTTCTGATTATTTCACTTTCTAGATTAATAATATATTCTAAGAATGTTTGTTGTGTTATTGCAACCTTGACCGTTTTGATTTTTTAACCAAATCTCTTGGATAGCTCATTAGGTCTTCTAATAAAAATCTTTACGACTGAGAACTAGAAATTTTCTCAGAACAACATTCAAATAACTGCACAATGAATGCTCTTCTTCTGACATGATAACTATTTTCTTTGTAGGTTTTTTTGAAGTTGCAAGAAAATTTTTTTCACAGAGCTAGATTTGCTAATTCTAAATCATTCTTTAACAAATCATTAGTCTATAAGTCCACTTTCAACATTATTATAGGCTTATTCTAAATTTTAACCTTCATAATATTTGAATATTCTTGATTCTAGTTCTCTTTTATAATAGCAAAATGTTTTGTAAAATTTATGGTTGTATTTAAAATACGCAAAAAGGTGTAACAACAATAGCTAGTAAAGTAAAAAACTAATAAAGTAATAAAAAAACATTTAGGTTACTTTATATAACACGCATAAATAGAAAACATGGTTAATTAAACAGTTATATCAGCTCTTTTTGAATACGAAATTGCATTAATGTTTTAAATGTAAATGAAAAAGAATGTGGTTAATTAATTATTATCTTTATTAAATTTGTTTTGTCAGACGACAAATTTGTAGTGTGGATTTAGTTTTCTACAAAAAAAAACTATTTGGATAAATTTTTTTCTGCAAGAAGTTATCCAAAATAATTTTTTTGTGATAACTTCATCCAAAAAACTCCAGATAATACTCTTAAAAAAACAAAAAAACTAAAATTAAAAAGTAAATAAAACAAAAAACTCAAAATACTCTAAACAATTATTTGAAAGTTGCCAATTATCACTGATCAGTAGAAATGATAAAAGTTAAAAAGTAGGCAATCAAATAATTATCTGGACGGTTACATTTTCCCTAAATTTACTTTTCCCAAATAGCGTACAACTTAGGTGGTGTCAAATTGATTGTTTATCCGAATGTAAACTTGCTTTATTAATTATTTTTCAGACATTCATAGAAATGATTTAACATTTTCAGTTAATTTACTCATTTTATTCGAAAAATT